GGAGGAACACGTCGAAGACAGGCAAGGACAGCTGGGAAGCAGGCTGTTGAAGAGTCCCCAGGAGCAGGGGGACAAGGCTGGGAGGAGCCTGTGGGCTACAGCTGCGGCTGGGGACCAGGAGAGATACCTAGGTCGGGTAGGGAACACACTGGAGGCTAGCCAAGGAGAGTGGCAGGCAGGTGTCAACAAGTGGGAACTGAACAACAAACAGCAGTTTTGTTTTAAGTATAAGAAGAGCCACAGGTAGCAGTAAAGATGGACTTTATTTTTGTTTGTTTATTTTTGTGTGGATTATTTTCTTTTCTTTAACACCCTGAAAGGAATATTGGGTCTCAGGTGGCGTGAGGCTGGGATGCAGGGGATGGTGGAGCCCCATATTTTTTCAGTCATTTTTGGAGTCGATAAATATCTTTTTCTGCCTTGTTTCATGGCGGGCATCTTCCTGTTAGGAAAAGTGTGTATCCCTGTAATAAATAAGAAAAACTATACTTAACATCAAAGTCATGGCAGGAAAGTTTTTTATCAACTGGGAGGGGTTAAGGGTGAGACAGCACCCATAACCCAGCATAGCAGAAGAGAAGATGTCATCCCAGAATGACCTACAGCACCTATAGCACCTACAGTCAACAGTGTGTTACAAGTATTTTATAAAATGCCAACCAGGAATACTCCTGCACCTATTGATTTCAAATCTAGCATTTTCCTACTATATGAGTCTTGTAACTGTACTCACTACCTTATGTATAGAAAGGGCCCCATGGGAAACGTATAATTATTTTCTTAACATGATGTTGTTTCTACATTTAACTTCTAGCCTGAAGGATCCTGGCTAGACATGCCTCTCTGTTCTCTGAATATGATTATTTCACTGCCTAAAGAAGAAGCCTGATTTATTTTATGGAATCAAAATGGGTTTTAAAAGCATACTATCCCCAGTTCCAGCATGACCTAGCTAGAAATGGTAAGGCAAATTTAAATGCTTCCAACTGTGCATGGAAAGGAGCTGGGGGCTGAGTTTTTACTTTATCTTGTTTTGTTTGTGGGTTTTAAAATGTTATTAAGTCACCTATTTAAAAGAAAAAAATACCCATTTTCCAATGCACATGTAACCTATGTAGATAATATATGTCACAATGTTAGTTGAACTCATGCCTGTTCCTCAGAAATCGGTCATTTAAAAAAAAATCAAGCCTATTTCTTATTACAGAGAAAAGAATAGGTGACCAGTTAACTAAGAAGTACCACTGCTAGATGGAGATTTATGACAAGGAGTACAGTTTGACAGTCTGATACTCAAATGAAAAGTATCACTCCCACTGAATTTCATAGCTCTTGGCTGAATTACATCAGCCAACTCTGACATAGTGAAACAGATGTTCTCCCATGCATTTTCACTGCGGGTATCTGGTGTATTGATTTTTGCCTTTGACACCAATTTCCAGCCTGTCACTTACATTTTCTCTTGATTCCACTTGCCCTCAATGAAACTGATTCCATGCTAGGCAATATACGGTAACCACTACATATTTCCCACACTGCACATTTACTAGTGACTTACAGGGTGCATCTACATGTGTGCTTTAATGCGCATTAGCTTATTCTAATGCGCATTACAGTGTCACAAAAAGTACACTTTCACTAATGTGCATTAAAATAGGGTAATGTGCCTTTTTCTAGTAGCTCACAACGGAGGTATGAAATGTATTGTGCATTAGCAAAAGCACGTTACTGAATGTTTAGATACACTCATGGTGACTTAGTAGGGAGTGGACTTAGGTCAACGCTGAGCAGAGGTGTAGCAAGCTCCAAGGTAGGTTGGGGAAAAGGATTATCCAGATCACAGAAGAATTGGGGGGCGGGGGTTAGGGTTAGTGGGGAGGGTACATTACCTGTCCTTACTGTCTGCTACTGCTGTGACTGCTGCTCTAGCAGCATGGGGTCAGGCTGTTGCCATTAGGAAATAGGCTTGTGGCACAGCTGCTGCAGCAGCCCCATGGTGCAGGCTCCCCAGGGGCTACCCCAGTGTCCTGTTCACTCCCATCCCTGCCGGATATGCTACTGGGTCCAGGGCCATGACTGTTGTGGTAAAGACATACCATTTTGCTCACCACCCCATACCACCAGATAGATACACTACTGGGCATGTATACTGGACTGGCTGCTATGGTCAAGCAGCACAGGGCTATTTCTTCCATGGCAGAGATTCCTTGGATGGGGGTGCATTTCTGGCACCCCCTCTAAGACAACACTCAGGGTTGGTGCCCCACCTGCCCACCTAGTTACACTACTGACATTGCAGAGGGAAGGGGTTGGCACACAAAAGCATGTAATCTGAAGGGACTAATATCTCAAGACATATAAAAAAATATTTTTAAATTAACAAAACATGGATTTGCAAAATCTAATGAAACCACATATCTAATGAAACCACGTATATTTATGAGTTGGTAAATTCTAAATGTCCTAAGCTATTTTTAATCATAACTTCCCAGTTAATGTTTTTGTCATTACCATTAGGGCTGAGTAGGAATAGCCATAACTAAACTTTAGACCAAACCTTACTCCCTGTATATACTCTGGCTCAGGATCCAAAAATATATTTGCAAACAGTTTTTAAAAATTGTACTGAAATTGCATACTCAAGAAACCCGGTATCAGGATAACCTGTTCTCTCTTATCTGCAATATCAGCCCTGCATATATCCCATATAACCATAATATATTTAATGTTTAAAATGCTAATAATAGCATTTTAAGAATTTTTTTTGTGTTCAAGGGACTGTACAAACATTAATTTGTTCTATTTATTTAATCGATTGACATGGGATTGACATGGGATTTACTGCGAGAGGTGACTCTGAAAATGACATCATACAACGGGACATTTGTGTTTACATTTCCTATCAAATGTTGTTATTTCACTGTTAACACTATAATTAATCTCTTCTATCTGCCAGCTCTACAAACTCACATGAGGTCTGAAAGTCAAGCTGTGTTTTTTTTCTGGCTTGTGTACCATCAGTAACAGAGATTCCAAGTGTTGACTTCTACTGGCTTTCTACCAACTCCGTCATCTTCAACAAACACGTTTCCATCAGAGCTAAGACTTAGACTTGACACAGGTATAAATGACAGCATGATTCACAGCCAGTGGGGTTTTACAATAAAAGAGAGCTTAAATTAACTATCCTGTTGGTTGTTACTTTCTACTGCTGTAGTTAGGTCTCTGTATACTACTTTAGCAGTGAGAAGGGCTGATATTAAAATAATTCATTTCACACTTCTAAATCTGTGCTGCTTCTGCATACCTGAGAGTAGTAACATATTTTCACAAACAAGCAACTATTGCTTGTGTGACACAGAAGATGTCAATCTGCTGAATAAGAAGGTTGCAGTGTCACTTTTGGAGTAAAATTACACTTTAATGAACAGTACACTAGTAGAATACTAGGCAAGAACAACCATGGTTTTGAGAGGCTCTGGTCAAACAATATTTAGCTCAGTGGCATAAATCAAGGATTGGGGAAGTTTCAGCTAAGCACAGTCAAAAAGCCTGAGGCTGAATCAGAAACAGAGAAAATTAGGGTTGGAAGGGACCTCAGGATGTTATCTAGTCCAATCCCCTTCTCCAAGCTGAACCATCCCCAACTAGATCATCCCAACTAATGCTTTGTCTAGCCAGGTCTTAAAAACTTTGAAGGATGGAGACTCCACCACCTCTCTGGGTAACCTGTTCCAGTGTTTTACTACCCTCTTAGTGAGAAAATTCTTCCCAATATCTAACCTAAATTTCCCTGGCTGCAACTTGAGGCCATCGCTCCTTGTTCATCATCCGCCACCACTGAGAACAGTCTAGCTCCATCCTCTTTGGAACCATCCTTCAGGTAGTTGAAGGCTGCTCTTAAATTTCCCCTCAGTCTTCTATTCTCTAGACTAAATAAGCCCAGTTCCCTCAGCCTGTCCTCATAAGTCATGTGCCTCAGCCCCCAAAACCATTTTCATTGCCCTTTGCTGGTCTCTTTCTAATTTGTCCACGTCCTTTCTGTAGTGGGGGGCCCCAAACTAAACAGAGTACTGCAGATCTGGCCTCACCAGTGCTGAATAGAGGGGAATAATCACTTCCCTTGATCTGCTGACAACACTCAAACCAATGCAGCCCAGTATGCCGTTAGCCTTCTTGGCAACAAGGGCACACTGTTGGCTCATATTCAGCTTATTGCCCAGGTCCTTTTCTGAAGATCTGCTGCCTAGCCAGACAGTCCCTGGCCTGTACTGGTGCATGGGATTGTTTTGTCCTAAGTACAGGACTTTGCACTTGTCCTTATTGAACATCATGGCTAGATCCAGATGTGCAAACCTCTTTGCAGCACCACAAACCGCAGTGTGTGGTGCTGCTAAATTTTCAGTGCTGGGGAAAAATATGCTACTGGGAAGTACAAAGTTTTCATGCCTAGGGCTGGCTGCTCCCCTGTCTCCATGTGCCACAGCACAGAGGCTCCACTGTGGAGCCTCCATGTTGAGGCATGCAGAGATAGGGGAGCAGCCAGCCCAAGGCTGCCTGCTCCCCAGCCTTGAGGCACCCTACACCCCAGCCAGCTACTCTGGACTCTTCTTCTCCTCAGACTGGCTTCCCAGGGGATCCTGCCCATGAGTTCCCCAAGTGAATCAAAGTCTGGCTTTCTGAAGTCCAGGGTCCTTGCTCTGTTGCTGTCCTTTCTTCCTTCCTTTCCTCAGGATCCTGAACTCAATCATCTCACGGTTGCCATCTACTACTACATTCCCCATCAGTTCTTCCATTTGTGAGCAGCAGTTCAAAAGGAAATTGCCCTTAGTTGCCTGCTCCATCACCTGTACCAGGAAATTGTTCCCACCACTCTCCAAAAATGCCCTGGATTGCCTTCACACTGGTGTATTGTCCTCCCAGCAGATATCAGAGTTTTAGAAGTCCCCCATGAGAACTAGGGCCTGGTTCAATTCAGTCTTTTCAGGTTAATCTAAGCTGCATGGATTGAACTGACAAGCAAGTGAACAGACATTCACTTTGATTCCAGAAATGTAGCCACATGCCTGCAGTGGCCCAGGCCAGAAGCTTGAGGATACTAGCCAACTTGGGCCAAGGCTAGGCTAGCTACCCTGTAAGGGGGTGGGGTTTGAGGGGGAAATGCAAAGCATCCTGGGATGCTAGGGATCTGTGAGTTAACTTGAATCTGGAGGGGTTCTGGGACAGAATTTCAATAAACTGATTTAACCTAAATCAATTAAATCTGATACTACATCCATGCAGGTTTATCTTAAACTGGTTTTGACTATTTTGAAAGTGGTTTATATGCACTGAAGTTCTGTTGTGTGACAGATTTGAACTGGTTTCCATTCACTTATACTGGTTTATGCATAATTTCTGTCCCTAGCCTTCCTGTACCATGTCACTGCTAGGTCATGAAGAAAAGTGTTGGCAGCTACCCGTC